TGGCCAGAGTCCTGGATCTGCAGATCGGTGATGGTGAAGAGTCCCGTCTTACTGTCCCACCACAGTCTGCCTCTGAATTTCTCATTCAGGTCTGTGTTACTGCTCCCTGGCAGCACCATGGCCACAGTGCCGATATTCCCATACAACAGGGCGCCAGTAGAAAGAACTGGGGCAGGAAAAGTGAAAGCTCCTCCCACAATGCCTTTCACCTGCTGTACCTCAGCATGGACAGATGTCAGACAGCGACCTGCAATAGAGGAGGCATTAACAGTGTGACACACAGGCTGCTCAGAGCCTATAAGAACGCTGCATAAGCTACATAAGCTGTGATAATGTCGCCCTCCCTTTAAGCTGATGGGAGGCCGTCCTGTGCCCTTCATCCCTAAACGGGCCCCATCTCCAGTGCAGCGTTAACATCAGGAAGCAGCTTGTGGGGGCGAGAGAGCAGCACCTGCACCGTTAAGGGGAACTAAGAGGATTATACATTTGATAAAGTGGGGGGGGGGGGGGGAGAAACACCTGCCCCCTTGAAGCAGGATTAAGAGAATAATACCACCTAATAAATTGTGGGGGGAGGGGGGCACACATTAGAAGTGTTTGTGCAAAATACCCGTCAATATTCGGGGGAGTCCCCATCTCCCTATTGATGAGCAATATCGATCTTGAGACCCCTTAAAATTTAGCTTTTGAGGCTTTCAGGGGGTCTCATAGGTTAATTGGGGGTGTCGGACCCCCCCAGACCCCCCGGTATTTCGCACATTGGTTTTACTGTATAACGACACTAATATCAGTTTCCTCAGAAGGTCGGCTGTGGGCCCCATGAGTCCATGTCATGTAGCCTGATCACCAGGGAGGAGAACAAGGGTCCTGCGTGGGGAGCACAACCCCGACCTGCCCGTCACTCAGCTCAACATGGTACCAGGAAGGAGGGATACGAGGGTCACACTCCTGACAGGCAGGTCGGGTTGTGTTCCCCATGCGTGACCCTCATATTCCTCCCCAGTGATCAGGCTACATGTCCAGCGCAGACAGGGACTCATGGGGCCCACAGCAGACCTTCTGGGGAAACTGGCAGATGGTGGTACACATCCACAATACCTCAGCTAATCCCCTGCGAAGGGCTGCCAGTGTCTGCAGGGGGAGCTTCGCAGCCAAACCCACAACCTCCCCAGCACCATCTTTTCCTGCATGTTATTTCAGACAGTGACTGATCACATGTTACACTCTGTGCAGAATTATCCTCCCAGACGCTGCTCTGAGAATTGTATTGCTTGCCACCGTGGCAGCGTGTGGCTCAGTGGGCTGTGCCTGTAATCAGAAGGTTGCTGGCTCAACCCCAGCCTCAGCACGTCTATGGGTCCTTGAGCAAGGCCCTTAACCCCCAGCTCCCTGGGTGCCGCTACGGCTGGTGCAGATAACTTTACATAATAGAGCAAGTTGAGGGAGGCGTAAAAACAATTTCTCCACGGGGATCAATAAAGTATCAATTATTATTATTAAATCTCAT